TGTTTAACCTCTCTTTGCCTTTGAACAGCAGTCCTATACAACAAATCAATTTGCATAGGATGAGTCATATTTGATGAAGCAGCTATAATAAACAGATGCTAATGGTGGTTTTTATGTGTGGGTTGAAAACAGACCTTACATAAAACGAAAACACCTGATTAAGAGGCTTAAAATGGGCAAGTAACAGCTAAAGTCTTTGTTTCATGTCACAGGTTATACAGACTGAACACAGCAACACCAGGTGTAATTCTTTCAGACAAAGCTTGTGCTGCTTTTACCCAAACCAGAGGAAAGAGTTATTCCTGCTCCTTTTCTCACTACTGCATAATTACATCTGACCAGAGCAGCAAAATGTACTTGAAGCTTGAGCTAAAGATAACACGACTCAGTAAGTGTTATATAAATCCTATATTTAAAAAAGTGGCTTTATGAAATTAACATCTGTAAAAAAAAAAAAAAGGTGACAGTTGAACCCTCCTATATATAATCTAACCATTAAATTATGTAGACCTGAGTCTTTTCTGTATTTGTTTAAAAAAAAAAAAATGTCCAACTTTGATTTAATAAATACATATTCATAATGAATGTTTCTATTAGGCCAGGTTTTTTGGATTTTAACTGTGAACTGATGAAGTTCCTTTTATAAAATCTACCACCTTTATTTATGTGAACTTGTTTTATTTATTTTTAAAAAAGGCAAGCTACTCATTCTATTGGTGTTTTCATGAATTGTATTTTTTCTATCGTTTTCCAGTCATAGTATAAATTTCAGTATAAATCATGTCCTTGTTAGCTTTGTTATTAGCCGCAGAGAGCCCTGTGTGGTCCTCGAGCTGCAGATGTCAGACCCCTGAATCAGGCACATAACAGAGAATTGTAGACACAAGTGTTGTCTGAAGAAACTCTGTGGCAGACAAAAGTCGCATTTACTTGACGTTGACTTTGACATTAGATGTTCAACATCAGCTCAGAAGTGGCAGAAATCTGAAGGAAGTGGTACCAGAAGTGGACTTCAATTAAGAATTCAGTTGTAGAACGGAGGCCAAGCAACTCTGCTGTGCAATGTAGAAACATACTGGGGTGCAGAGAAGTGGCAGCATGTTGCTCTAGACTGGAGAGACAACATTTGAAATATTTGGCACCTTTCTAATCTTATGGAGAGTTAAACATTGATGAGTGAAGGGTGGTGCACGTTTTCTCCTTGAAGCTGCAGCTGGCGAGTTGGTCAAGATTCAAGAAGCCATCAATCCTGAGAAACAGAAGTGAACCCAGCATGAAAAAGTCTGACATTAAATATATTCTTCAGTATTTGATAAAACATGTTTTGTTCATATTTAAGGCATTTCTGAGTCCATTTAATTTTTTTTTTTAAATTCTATCAACAAACGAAATTGTTTCAGTTCTACTTTAAGTTCCTGGCTTTTGTTTGTTCATATAAATGTGTATAATTATGTTTATTAGAGGCTCAGGGTCACTGAGCTAAAATAAAACGTGAGGGTTTCTGTCATTTGGTACTGAATACTGCTAAATTTTACAATTTAAGCCTAATTACTTTTCTTCAGTAGATTTTAAAATATAATAAGTTGGTGTTCTGAACACGTTTTCATTTATTGAAACTTTCACTTTAATACTAATTGGATTGCATTTATTTGTTTGATTCCCACTCAAATGTAAATAAGTAAACAAAATAAATACAAAATATTGGATTAAAAATGTTCAACAGATTTGCCAGAATACAAATAAAGAAAACAGATTTCTTAAAAAAAAAAAAAAAAAAAAATCATAACCAGTTTCATAATATATAGATAATTTCAAAAAAATGTATAGAAACCACACTTTTAAACACAACAAGATGAGAACCATTAATAATGTTAGAAAGTATATATAACTATGTTCTATAGTGTAATATTATTGAGTTATTATTATTTCTTTCTCCATAAGAATGGAGTATGTATGAAGTGTGAATACAGTTTTAAGCCCGTGTCCAATTACAATTTATCACTACAATTTTAGTAAATTAGTTAGATATTTTCACAATTTATTCAATATTTAGCGTTTTTAAAACATTCCTCTGTTGCAGCTTTTTGTCTGATTCTTTAGCTACACCTCTATAAAATATTTGGTTATTTGGTTTATATTTGTTGTGTTTAATTTCAAAATATTTTAATGTGAAATAAGAAACAGCTAAACTAAATATAAAGTGACAAGTGCTGCCTTTGAGGTGCAGCTTGGGGACAAAATGGCTCATAAAGAAAAGTAGTGTTTGCACTTAAAAAAAAGTTGTTGAATAAATGCACTTTGCCCATGAAATGTATATTTCAACACCAATCACAGGCTTAGAAACATTTTCCCTAAAAGTAACCAGACACTTTTCATCTTGTTTGAAAGTGTTTTTTTTTAATTAAACTCCATTGATTTTATTTTTCCTTGTAGAACCGTGTCCAGCCGGTGTAAAAAACAACCATGAGCCAGTTCTGTGAGACTTTCCTTAATATGTTTTCAGAGACTGACAGATGGAAGTTCACTCTCCAGAACTGTATGTGTAAAAGCTTCACAAACACAGAGGTTAACACACGTGCACAGAACGTGCATGTGACTGGGATTACACAAATATGTCCGTTCGTCCATCCAGCCATTATATTTACTCGCTTCTATCTTTTTGGGTCTTGGGGGGTGGGGGTGTCACTGGTGCTCATGTCCAGCCATCACTGTGCGAAAGGCGGGGGACACCCTGGACAGGTCTCCTGTCCATCATAGGGACACATAGAGACAAACAACCATTCACTCTCTCACTCGCACCTAGGGATATTTTAGAGTTACCAATCAGCCTAACATGCATGTTTTTGGTCTGTGGGAGGAAATCGGAGCACCCGGAGAAAACCCACGCATGCACGGAGAGAACATGCAAACTCCACCCAGAAAGGCCCCCGGACCAGGTTTTGAACCAGGGTAACCTGCTCGCTGAGAGGCAGCGGCTCTTCCAGTTGCACCACCGTGCCCTGCATAAATATGTGCACAAGAAATATGAATAACTCACATGAAACTTCAGCTAAAGAGATCTGACAGGACACAAACACAAAAATAGCCACAATGTCAGTTTTTACAGATTTTGAGTTATTTGGCGTGGTACTAACTGAGACCTGCACCCTGAGCACTAACTAATCCCATGAAATCTGTGTGTTTTAAATTTCCTGTTAACAGTTGAAATCAAAGTTTCTGTTAGCAAAATATGTCATGAACCACTGGGCAATGTTCAATGACATTCTCAAAAAGTAATGATTGGATTACAACTGATTAACTTTGAGCGTCAAGCCAATTCAAGATGGCTGTTACAGTCAGCTGACCTTGGGACACAAAACTGGTTATAACTCAGTCAGTTTTACAGACACTGGGGTAAAGTGTGGTAGTTGCTGAGCATCCTTCTCATCATATAATCAGAGCAGTACACTGGTCGTCCCTGTTTAAAGTGATGCTGTCTGTATGGTAGACAAATAGCTCCTGGACTGCTAGATAGAATTTAATTAAAGTCTTTGAAAGTAATTATTGAACTTAATTTTATGTTGTTATGTTACTTTTATGTTATTTCAAATATCTCGGGGTTTTGTTCACAAGTGAGGGAAGAATGGAGTGTGAGATTGACAGACGGATTGGTGCAGCATCTGCAGTATTGTGGATGCTGTAACGGTTTGTTGTGGTGAATAGAGACACTGTAGAGCTGGTAAAGATGGAAGGTTTTTTTTTTTTTTTTACATCTGGTACATTCACTTGGTAAAAGCTGTAAGGCAAAGCTCTCTGTTTACCAGTCGGTCTACTTTCCTACCCTCACCTATGGTCACAAACTCTGGGTAGTGACCGAAAGAACAAGATCACAGATACAGGCAGTTGAAATGAGTTTCTTCTGCACGGTAGCTGGACTCTCCCTTATAGATGGTGTGAGAAGTTCAGTTGTCTGGGAGATACTCAAAGTAGAACCGCTGCTCCTCCACATCAAGAGGAGCTAGTTGAGGTGGTTCGGGCATGTGCGACTGGGAGGAGACCCCAGGGAAGACCCAGGACACACTGGAGAGACTATGTCTCTTGGTTGGTCTGGGAACGCCTTGGAGTCCTCCCAGAAGAACTGGAAAAGGTGGCTGTGGAAAGAGATGTCTGGGACTCCCTGCTCAAGCTGCTTCCCCCATGACCCAACTTCAGAATAAATGGAAGATAACGCATGGATGGATGGATGGATGGATGGATGGATAGATGGACGGATGTAACTTTATGGGTCAACTCAGTTCAAGATGGCTGCCATAGCTAAGTGACCCAACCCAGAAATATCTTATATTTCACCAAGTTTACATCTACTGAGCTAATGTCTGCTGTGGTAGTAGCTGAAAGTCATCCTTGACAACGTCTCTGAGTAATAGCACATCTCTCAAGATTTCACAATGCGTGTGCATGAGATTGTTTATGACGTCTTTTCAAGGTTTTGCCAAAATAACTACAGCTGTGTCCCTTTTCATCACAATATGGTGTGCACTGAAGACAGTAGGAGTCAAATATCTTACAGAGGTTGGTGTCTTACTTTTTGTCTGCATGTTTCCTCTTGAGTTAGTTTCCTCTTATCTTCCTGCTCC